CTTATAACAGCTAGCATGCAATGAGGTCTTTAAAACAATATTTGCAGAATGATTTCAATTCAAAAACTAAGTTATGATACTAATCAATAATGAATATATGTTACTTAATAGATATTTGTGAAAGATTGCTCATATGTTTAGTTTTTAACAGGAGAAGAAACAAAATTTATTATATACCTAATACATGACAGTATTAGAATCCTAGATATGTAATTTTGTAAACAGTTTCCATAAAATTAAAGTTTTTCCATTAAGAATCTCATAATTCAAAGATTTTTCTATCTTACCTAACATAGTAGAATTGCAAAGTCATTTTGAATTTATGGGCTTAAAAAAACTAGCTGAAAGTACGTTGGAAACATGTGATGTCTACATATAAAGGATATTTATAAACATATGTATGACTCAAGTTTAGTTCTAAATAAGTGTATTATGAATTTATCAAAAAAGCCTGTTCCGTTTACTAAGTTAGTTTATTAAGAGACATGTGGGATTGGATTCATTAGCAAAACAAATGTTTTAGATTTCATAATTTTTTCTGAATTTCTTCAAATTTATTTTCATACACAACTGGGAATTACACACACACACACACACCATATACACACAAAGCTAAGACCTTATTGAAGGATCTTCAGGAATATCAGTATGTACTAAAACATAAATTTGTTAATTGCCCTTACCTATTGGCAATATTAGCTGATGTTATGTGTTAAATATAATACAGAATGATTTAAGGTGGAGTATAAATTATCTGTGGGAAATACTTTTTGTAGAAGCAAATAAAAATAGGATATTTCCTCCAAAGAGGGCAGAAGACACAGTGATCTAAATATGCTCAAATTAAGAATAGTAATAAAAATGATAACACAAAATTCTAAGAAATAAAATTTTAGCAATTTACTATTAGCCTCCCCAAAGATATTTCACATGAGTTTTTTCTATTTTAGTCTTTTAGTCATAATGCTTATGGTGATAGAATAATAACTGCTGAGGATTTCTGTATATGCCTATGTATTTCTTCCTTATCCTCTTTCTTAGGAGTTAAAAATAAAAGATGCTTCACTTGGTTTAATTAGCAGCAGTCTTGTTTTTTCTTTCTCTTACTCTCTTTCTCTCAATCCCCCCGCTCTCTTTTATTTTATATTTATTTCCCTGTTTTTCTCTTTGGATTTGAGGAAATATGGGCTTTGAAAATCTGATAGGAAATATTAATATATTTAACACAACTGTTGATAGAAAGATTATAGATACTAAACAATTTTACTAAATACTTTGTTTCATTTTTAAAGCCTGGATTTAATAGAGAAAAACATGATATGTCTTGTCCACACGGTGACAGTGGTTTTGAGACAATGCTCGTGATTCTCAAGCATGCAGTTGTTAAAAATAACTGCACCTCACCCTGGTTTCAAATGCATGCTTTGCATACTTGGGATTAATTTTTTAAAAAAGCATGAAGTACACATGAGAACTTGATTAAAAGGAAAATAACTAGCACTACTGGGTAGCAATGGGTCATCTCATGATTCCAATGAAATTTGGAAATTTTTCATATTAAAAATATCTAGCAATTGCCTCAAAAATATGCAGATGGATGTAGGAGTGCCAGGAGACTAATAACAAATATAACTCATTTAATATTAATTTGTCACAGATTTTAAATTAAATAACAAACACTTATATGTACAATTCATTCATTAGGAATGGAGCATATGGAAGGAATTCTTAAAGGATGCCAAAGAACCCTTATAATGCAGAAAGTGACTAGACCTACTTCTTCACTCCCTGGGATGATGACAGGCCATGCCAAAGTACAGTACCAATAGAGCTGTGGTACTTTCCAAAATTGTCATAGCATGTCAGTGTGAAGAGTCCAGTTCCCTCAACCATGAAGACAGTACATACCTACTAGTGAGATATAGTGAATCATCTCTCTATAGACAGATATATAGATAGATAGATTTCTATGTGTTTCCATGTATGCACATTTACAGATATGAATATCCATGTATACACCTTACCAAGCATACTTACCAAAGAAAAATATGAATGAAATAACAGTATTATCAAATTAAAAAAACTTGAATTATTTAAAGAAAAATTTAGAAACGTGCTCAAAGTTAAACTTATCCAAACCTGAGAGAAATTTGAAAAAGATCCCTAAAGATTTTTAAATGTTAAGATTGGCACTTTAAAAACCACCCAAGTTTTAAATAATTAGTAATGGTTGCATTAGTTCCATTTCTATAATCAAACAAGAGAGTATGGAGCAAAAAAGAACAAACGTCGCTGTTTCAGCATAGTAGTGGCATCACAGGTCATTAAACAACTCAGTACTAAGTTAATTTAAAACTCATTTAGTCTTTTACTTTACATATTTATAGTAATGATGCCTTCATTTTCAAATAAAAACTGTGGGTATGATATGAGTGATACTAACATTAACTTCAGGGCATGGTGCAGAATAGCAGGTAAAATTGTTAATTGAATTAGACTGGTTGCTACACATTTATGACATTATATCTCTATATATGACATACATTTATCTACATTTTGTACATACCATAACCCCTTGTACAACTACATAAAATAATTTATTTGTAATTTTATGAGACAAATCAATATTAAAATGTAAAAATGTGTTTTCTGAAAAACTGATCTTAAGATGATATATGTATGACATTTTATTTCATGTTTTTCAACTGGTTAATTGAAGTGTGAGTAATTATAAAACTTCTGGTTATGTTACTTAAAAAACTTTACCATCAAACCTCCTCCCTCTCTCCAGCAAAAAGAAAAGCAATCCTTTTGATTCATGTAAACTGTAAAAGAATAAGAATGTATGAAATACACAAAAGTTAAAGAACTAATAGAAAATTTTAAGCAACATTGTTGGAAAATCTGAACTATCAGAATGTCAATAAGCTGAAATATGATTTTAATGATTGAAATTTAAAATTATAATTCAATTATATCAAAGAATAACAATGATGATAAGTTTTCTGCCATAAACACTAACAAAGTGTTGCCATTAACGTAGTCTGTCTTTGCTCAAGGTTATAGATGAATCTTTTTCTGTTTAACTACAGAAATTGCTATTTACAGCTATTTTTATATATGTACATATTTATAATATACTTTATAATTTATAGTCAGACATTAAGGGAGCAGTGCAGACTTTTAAAATATTCTTAAAGTGCTTAATAACGCACAAAGCCTTTTCATTGCTTGCCTTTAAGCATTATGCACTTTTTATACTGTTGCACATGTCCATAAACAACATAGAAGAGCTATGCTTTATCTCAATGTGTAAGAAAATAAGGTATCTTCTATTTCAATGTATGACTAAAGTATACATTTTATAACCATTTAGATGGCAACAAGTATTACTGAAAGGGCATTAAAGAAATACATTTATTAGCTTGTGTCACAATTTTATTTTATTAAGGTAACTGGATTTATTTTTGTGTCGGAACTTTAATGTCAAGGTTGTCTTCACGGCAAATTCTGTTAATAAGATGCATTTGTGACCTTGGTATTAACACGATCATGCAGAGCACACAAGTAGAACCACACTCAAACAAAGAAAATGAAAAAAATTAAATGAGGCAAAAGAAAAGCAATTTTTGTTGAGATTTTGATTTTTTCCATAGGACACGGTTTTTATTGATTTTGTGACATACCTATTTTTGCACTATACTCAAATACTTTACAAAATTGCAAGAAATGCCATTATTTTACTACTTATGTTTCTACAAAACATCGTGAATGTGCATGTATTATTAAAAGTCAACTAATAACTGCTAATATACATGTCAACCAAAAGTATTTTAGGTTTGCCAGAAACTTTACATCTAGGCATGATACACAATTGTTAACTTTTATTAGCATTATTTCAAGGGCATAAAGAGTATTTTTAAATATGAAACAAAAAATGAATTTTACACATCAAAATTAGTACTTATATAAAATTGAAAATTGTAGTTTCTAATTTAGCTATACGCTGTATGTGTGTTTATGTTTGTGTGTGTGAAATAATCCACAATCTGTTGGTGATGTGTAAAGATGCAGTTTAAAAATGTTTAACTCTTACCAAAACCTCTTTTGGAATACAAAGCTGTTGTAAATTTGTATCAGTGAAATTTAAAGTTGCAATTTACAAAAGCAGATTTACATTAATTCTTATCTGAAAGAGCTGCTTTCAAGACAGAAAAATGTGCAGACTTACGGCCCTTTCCTTTATAATTAGTGGCTTCTGAGTTCTGATGAAACGAAGCCTTAAGGCAGAATTTGCAGTAAACAGGAAAGAAGAGAATATTTTAAGTGCGCATCTGTAATCTGGGTCACCTATGAATTCTCATGTGTTGGAGTTTTTGGCACAATTTTCTAATCCATTATGAAGGCTGCTCCACAGCAGCTAAACCGCACACCTTTTCCAATCTCCAGCACCAAAAAAATAAATAAAAATTAAAAATCAGCTGATCAATTTCAATACAACACATACCTGGAGAGAATAAGCCATATTTATTATCTTTTTAAAAATTTAATGTAGTTTCCAATGATTAAAATAATTTGTATGATTTCAATTATTACTTTCAAATAAATGCTGAAGCTAAAAATATAATGACCATGACACTCCAATAGTTACTGAATTGTAAGCGTAACTAACATCCCATCAGCGAGACTCATAATTGCTTGAGCTTGTCATGCTGTAATACATACCTGGATATGGACACTATACATAGCAGTTAAAAGTTGATTTCAGAGATCTAGTTTTTCTTTTTATGTGTGTCAAGCTTCCAATTTAACTAGCAGGGATTCTGAGCACTCATGACGGGAACTGGTGTTGCAGATAGGAGGTTCTGCTTTTTAGAAAAACCCATCCTTGAATGACACTATTAATCTTCTATCATAATTAGGCAACAGTAGAAAATATTACTATTTAAGACTAAAATCAGAAGTCTTTAAAGGGTGATATAAGATCCCAATTTTCATAGGAAATAAATCACATCTTCTGAATTCCACTTTGAACCAGGTCTGGGGTAAATATTTTTTAAAAGGCAATGGCTCTTTTAGCATGGGGTGTTTTCTGCCCATAGTTCCATGAGTTAGCAAATGCATGTCTCCATTAAAGGTCTACTGGTAAGCTAATATCATTATATACATACTGTACATGTTGGTTCACAAATTAGCAGTTATTAGTCAGACTGTATATAGCAAAACAAACCAGTATAATGTTGCCATATATCCCAAAGATAACCCATATCTAGTATCTAGCTTCAAGGACTGACTCCTAATACAGGCTCTCTGTTTAAATATGTAGCCCAGTAAACTAAATTAAATGTACCAAACAAAACTGGGAAAACTATTCTGGACATTCTGTCAATTTTGCTAACACTGTTGAAGGTTTTCTTGGCTTCAGCTGGCTTGTTTTCCGGCTTCTTGTTGGGTTCTGGTGTGGTCGCACTTTTGGAGATGGTAGACAGGACAGGATCTTTTGAAAGATTTGGGGCATAATTGGCAACAGCCACCGCATAGGCGTTGTTCTGTATCATGACTGAGGATTTTTCTTTTTTCTATTGAAAAATATAAGAATTAACAGAGGGTAGGTTGAGCTGGTTACTTAACATTTTCTAAACTCCACTTCAAATTTTAAAGAAAAGAACCCTTATATACATCATTATCCATTAGATAAGAATAATTTAGGGAAAAAAAAAGAGTTCATTAAAGCCTAAAACCATTGGGGTAAGAAAATCCCCAGAATAAAATTAACTGCACAATTATTCCAGGAGACTCATTTTTGTTTCTTCAATGGAAAGTAAGCAATAGGGAATAAAAGTTTAATTAAAAATACAACCTGTTTTTTTTTTCTCTTAGAAGTCACTCATATATTTGTTGAATTCATGAGTGAATGAATAAATGAAATGTAGAAATATTTTAAGAAGAAAAATGATATCAACAACGAATGATCACAAATTTCTAAAAAGATAACAGGATTCCTCCCAAGCTCATGTCGAAATTACAGAGCAGTGCTTTACCTAGACAGTGACAGCGTAAAAAATGCTACCATCATAGAGAAAAGTTAAAGACAAACACTTGTGCTTCTTGTCTAACTTATCCCCAATATATTTCACTTAAGAATCTCCTGTTTAATTATCACCAGCTCTTGGCTTAGTCATTATTACCTAGACCAAACAATTCTGCTTTGCACTCTTCCATCTTGGATTGACCTTGTCCAATCATTAGACACACATGTATGACATAAATCTCTCATATAGAATTTCATGGAACTTCAAATGAAATCCACACTTCTGCCATGACTTTTTCACTTTATTTGTTAGGTATAATTCCCACTGAAATAGATATAGTTTTCTAAATATTTTCTTGTTTTGGTGCCTTTTGCTAGCTTCCTAGCTGGAATACATACGTTATACCTGATTTTTCTCATGACCAATTCCCTCTCATATTTTGGTCTGGCTTTAAATGTCATTTGTTCAGAAAAACCTTCCCTATTTGCTTATCTAATGATATATTTGCTGTCTATATATGCTCTCTCAAAGCACTCTAATTGGTTTCTATGCTGGCATTTTCTGAAGGTGTGAAAATCCTTCCTTAATCATGTGATTATTTGACTGAAATTTTCCTTTATCATTAGGAGCTAAGTGTAATGAAGGCTGGTACTGCTTCTGTCTTGTTTATCTTTGGAAACTTAGCACTTAGTATGAAACCTTCTGTGAGGTAGGTGCAGAATTCTGAGCTGAATTAATGAAACCTCAAAGTCTAAATCATATTTATATATGTTTCTATACTAATATAAGCATATTATGATTTACTGAAATGGAAAGCAAATTGAACCAGCAATGAATTATTCAAAATATAAGTAGTATAGACTTAGAGGGAAACCTACAATAAAATTTTGAGTACCAGTTACTTAATTGTAAGAATCCTCAAATGTTTGAAGAAAATAAGATAGGAAGTTTGACTGCTCTAAAAACAGGCTTGAATTACCCATATTGCTATGATTTTCTCTGTCTCCTGGTTTTGCAGTTAACAAGACATTCTTCCAGATCTGGCTGAAGTGCAAATGAAAGAGGGATGAGGGGTTACTATTTGCAACATGTAAAAGCTATAAAAAAATCTCTCCATAATGATACAATAGTTGCCATGTTAAGATGGAGGCTACAGATACATATATATGTATACATATATATATGTATATATCTGACAAGAAATAATAACTAACATCTGTTCATCACTCCAGTGTGTTAGGTTGAGTGTCAAGAGCTGACAAACCTTACTACTTACTGGGTTGGAAGTAAATTCAATTTTAATCCCATATTGTAATTTCAGAAATGTAGAGTAAGAAGGATTTGTAAACTGACCAAGTCTCCTGTCTACTAAATGACTGAAAAGTTATCACACAAATTAGATGTGTCTGACTTCCAAACCTCTACTTTAATTTATGTTAGATGTCTTTCTGTCTGAGGAAGTTGTTGAAATTTGGGAGTACTTCTTTATCCAAAAATACTCCAGTTGAGGTTTATATCACTAGGTCCAGCTTCAAAAGAGAAAAAACTCTGTAACTCATAAAGTATATAACATATACTGGTTATGTTATTATTTCAACTATTTCTAAATGCAATTTGAAATGATACCAAATTGTATTTATAGAGAATTTGGCCCTTGGGAAAGATCAAAAGCTTCAGATTTAGGATTGAAAAAGGGAGATGATGACAAGAAAACTATAAACTGGTATGATAAACAAGTGAACTAGTGTATATTCTAACTTTGAGAAATATACATTCTGCTAGTGGAGTGGAGTAAAAATTGAAACCTAGTAATCATTGTCTAGCATGTGAGGTTTCAATTTTCACTCCACTCCATCATACATTTTGGAAGAAGACTACATAAACACTGGGTAGAAAAACTGAAGAGAGGTTTCATTTTTTTTCCACTGGGTATTTGAGGTGGATCAGGAATTATGGTGTAAGATTTAGACAATGAAACATAACATGTAAATATCTTTTTTTGCAGTAGGAGTCTACAGATTGAAGCTCTGTAATTTTTTTTTACCAACATGACTTCTGCACCCTATTTAAATATCTTTCAGTTGTGTATATATACAAAAGTAATGCTAAAAATATTTAATAAACTGTAGAAAAGAGTAACTAACCAATCAGAGAAGTTACTTTAATCAATCATAATAGACAAAGGTACTAAATAATGAGAAATGCTCCACTAACAGGTACCAGCCAAATATCAGCCCTACATATTTGTATGATTATATTTTTGTTTTATTCTAACACTGCAGCTTCCATAAGGAAGTTTTAAAAATCATTTCCAACATATGCTCATAACTTTTATTGACAACCATAAAAAACAAAATTCACTTATTTTTCTTCATTATTGAAAATAATATCTGAATATAAGTGTAAACTTTCATAGAAGGACTGAGCATTTAACAAGATGATGCTTTTGTCTTCCGACTACTCCCTCAGAACTCAGATACGTTACCATTTTCAGGACCAGTAGCAGCAAAGTACAACAGTCACTTGTTCTATGTACAGTCAAGAGCCTTGTGTTGGTACCTGTAATTTCTTACCAATGCACTGAAGGAAGAACAGAGCATCCATAGGGTGCCACAGTTTGAATCCTAGCCACTGCACAACAAGGCTTTTTAGGCTCAGAATCTTACAATGTCTTGTATTAAAAGAGAATGTAATCAATCCCTCTTAAGCCATTTGAAATAATAACCATGAATCTATAATAAAGCAAATTATTCTTGTTTGTTTAAAGTTAAGTGTGCATACAGAAAAATACTATTGAATACACAGCTGACACACAATTCTAAAATTTTCCCAAGTCAGAGTATAGAACTAAATCCTCACAACATGTTTTATCATTGTCCTTTATAAGACATAGATATTCTGGTGATCTAGTGATAGTATCAGAGAATATTCATATTCTGAACCATTACCAGGAATATATACCTTGTCCTATCCACTCCCAACTTCCATTAAAAGAACTATGCTCAAAGAAATTTTATTATTAAAAGCTTTTGAATATCACGTGAGCCTTGGGTTAAGCCAGATCACCAATGCAGGATGAAAACATGGGCCACATGACATTCACCTATTCAGACAAATTTTACTTTATTTAGTCCTAACTCTGGCTTACACTAGGACCCTTGAAGAGAAATGTCCAAAGAAATCTAGTGTTGTGTTAACTGTTGAAAACAATACTCACTACCACAAAATCACTTTTAAATGCCCTTACATAATTTTTGTTTATTCTGAGAACTAGAAAAGGTAGTTCTTACCAACTTAGTGTTCTATGGTCTAATTTAATCAAGTGCTTTATGTCTATTCTAAGGCACTCAGATAAATCACTTCACATCATTTGGCCAGCTGTAGCAGAAAAATAGACAAATACAGACTGTGTTTCTGAAGTAAAACCAAAAAAAGTAACATCAAAAGTTAAGAATAAAATAAATTGAAGGGAGGATGGGAAAAATGAAAGTAAACTGAGCAAGCTGTTTTCTATTACTTTTAATAATTCATGTTCTTCAGGTAACTAAATTACAAAATATTCTGAAATAAACTCAGCTTCAATGCTCCCTTATTTCCTGCCCAAATCTGTACAACCTAACCTGTGAATGGTGTCACGATTCAGCCGGGAACTGGTAATAAACTTCAAATTTATCCTCAAGTAAGAGGCATTTTACCTTCTTACCGCTGTCAGGCTGATTCTGACTCAGCTCTGAGTCACACTGTTGAGATGTCACTTCCTACTCCTTGTGTTAGGTAGCCCTTCCATGCTTTTCCACAGCACTATGGCACTTACCTATATATCACACACATGATTTTTTGTCCTCTATTTTTCCTTTCACTCAGTTGAAAGCTCCTTGAAGACACAGCCTGTGTCCTGCAGAGCTTCCTAGCATAGTTCCTGGCACAAAGCAGGCTCAAAAGGCATTTGCAAAGTGATAAAATGATTACTATGATAAAGAATGAATAAAACATAAATTATATGATAAGAGAATGCTATTGCAATAGAATAATTATTGGAGGATAAAAGCAATTCAATAGTAGCATATTCTGAAATTCTACTAAGTAATGATCTGGAAAGCCCTTGATTTCACTGTCTGTAGATATGAACAACTAGGAACTAATAAGCCAACTACAAGCAATGCCTTCAGAAGTTCCTTTACTTGTGATTGGAACACACACAAGTACGAAGGGAGCAGGGATGGGATTTATAAATGAAATCAGTAAATTATACATTTTTATTCACTATTTGCAAGGACAAAGAATAAACACTGTTATACAGTTTGTGGACAGTTCAGTTGACAGTGAAGTGAAATAAAAAGGGAATATAATCCACAGTAATCGATTTTATATTTCTTAAATGTGATTTTTTTCAATATTCATACTATTTTGTGTTTCTTATATTATTAGAGTTTCTCAACATATATATTCAAAAAATTTAAGTCTGGAAAACTCCTGATTGCAGAAGTCAAAATGCCACAAAATACCACAATGTTGGAAAGATATATTTGGCTTTCTTTGGGTGGTAG